CGTAGTAACACAAACATTGAAATAAAGCTTTCGTTTAATGGTACGCAGTAAGCATCTGAAAATGAGGCTGTCCTCAGTCTCAAAAGATAAAAACAAACCTTAAGAATTGCACAGTCCCATACACTATGTATTGCGATATCTTTCTCCGTAACTGTCAAAAATTCAAAATTATCTAAGAGTTAAGACGTATATACTTTACTTAAGAATTACATAATAAAATTTACATACAGATTTAACATCAAGAATTTCTCGCCATCTCTATATATACTATTTTTTTGTAGTTAAATATTTCGATAGATTCGCTGATATTATTACCATTAGTACTCGTATTTTGTGCCAAAAAAGCTTTTTCCATTGAAGCTTGTTTAGTTTTATTTGTTCAGTTGAAGGTAAAATATGTATATTACTATTTTTAACCATTCATTTATGTTCATTCAATCTGTATTGTAAAATTCGTCTAGTTTTTTTGTTTTTTTTCAAGAACTAAGAACATTGAAATTTTTCTATATGACTAAATAAACAACTCTCTCGTCAAGCATTCTATATATATTTACATACTTGGTTCTTTCAAAATTGTAACTGGTAACTTAGACATTGCGTTTTATATATATATATATAAAGAAGAATGCTGTGCGGTATGCCAGATAAAATTGTTTTCCCGCAGAGACTTAGGTCCGCCAACTGGAGGTTTGGACAATACCAGACTATGGAGTATAGTGTTTTCCAGGTCTATAAACAGAATCATCTAGGAAAAAAGATTGGGTACCAATGGTTTCACAAACGTTTATTTAAAAAAAAAAACACTTGCAAGACAAGCGAATTATAGCAAATGTCTAACAGAACTTATAGGAGCTAGATGAAGATTTTACTGAAAAAGTTCTTATAAGCTAAATTAAACCCTAAACTTGAAGTGACATTTAACCCCAGTGAAGGTTATAATACTGTTTCAAACCTACTTTTAAATAAAACCAAAATCAATGTTTAAACTCCAGTACAAACGTTAGCTAAACTACTCGTTAAAACAAAATCTAAACGCCCAAACTTCTCTTTTTTTTTTTTAAAGCTTAAGTAACTCACTTCATAAAGTTAAAGGAATATAAATACTACTCAAACAAAATCATCGGATTAAAATAAAGCCAGCTAAAACAAAGTTTAAAGATTATATCTATGATATTATATTACAAAATATGAAACTTTCGAAATACCTCTGAAAATCTCAAAATATCTTGTATTAAATGGGCAAACGTGCCTTTAAATGCAAAAAAATACAAAAACAAGGTCAACTTAGCACACGAAATGCACGTCACATTCAAGACCTGTGGCCATGAGAGTTTAGTCATGTATACTCCTGATCCTTATTTGATTTGCTGACAAGGAAGATAACTTTCTATTTCTGAACGTCTAAGTTCTGTCTTCCTTACAATAAAGTCAGTTAGTTGCCAGTTAAAAAACCCACAACATCAATGCTTGCGAAAACATGGACAATTAAAGTGTTACTTGAGTAAATATGTTCGTTCAAACTGAGAACTCTGAAAAACACAATAATTTAAAATAAAAAACAACTAAGGGAATAGCAGGCAAAGCACCATCCTGTACTACAGGTGTCATCATGGTTAAGTAAATGTATAGAATGTGCCAAATTACCTTTTTAATTGATAGTTGGGCTATAAAGTAGTAATTAAAATAGTGTTCACATCAAATAAAATGGCTCGATTAACTTTGGGTACAGATAAATGGCTCAAACTTTTAATTAAGACTTTATAGTTTGATTTTAATAGAAGTGTTCTCCATCAGTATATATATATATATTTATATTTAATTTGTATCTAATTGGTAGATCTGTGTGAAATAGACTTTAAAACCGTACGCTTAGTGGAAGTGAAGCAGCGTATCGAAATTAGCACTAATTTAGGCTGACGTTAATCTGAAGTCTTTTTTGGTATAAATAACTAATCTTAATATCTGGTATTTTATGTGTGTGTGTTTTGTTTGTACAAAGCTTGTTTGTTTTGAATTTCGCGCAAAGCTACACGAGGGCTATCTGCGCTAGCCGTCCCTAATTTAGCAGTATAAGACTTTACCAACGAATAGTGGGATTGATCGTCACATTATAACGCCCCCACGGCGAGCATGTTTGGTGTGACGGGGATTCGAACCCGCGACCCTCAGATTGCGAGTCGAGCGTCCTAACCACCTGGCCATGCCGGGCCAGTGTACAACGCTACACAAAAAGCTATGTGTGCACTGTCCACCAGTTTTGGATTTTAGTTGTAAGTTCGTGAAGTACCTCTTAACTTTTTTATGCCATACTTTGCAACTTAACTGTAAAACTTAAGGCTTCTTCATTTCCACAGATATAAGTTTGGACTCATTATTTCCAAAAACTGGTTTGATATGTTTGGAAGTTCGCGCAAAGCTACACAAGGGCTATTTGCGCTAGCTGTCCCTAATTTAGCAGTAAAAGACTAGACGGAAAGCAGCTAGGCATCATCACCCACCGCCAGCTCTTGGACTACTTTTTTACCAACGAATAGTGGGATTGACTGTCACATTATATCACCCCCGCGGCTAAAAGGTCGAGCATGTTTGGTGGAAGGGGGGATTCGAACCCGCAAATTGCGAATCGAACGCTCTAAACACCATGCCAGGTCTTCCAAAAACTGCGCGGAAAAAAGTCTGTAATTTGAAATACTGTAGCTAAAGCATTACTTCATTATTACATGGAAAACATATACATGGGCTGAAGAATTCTCCAGAGAATTTGTTTCTTTGTTGTTGAGCGCAAAAATACACAATGGGCTACTTGTACTCTTCCCATCACTGGTATCGAAACCCGGTTTTTATCGTTATAATCTTATAGACTTGCTGCTTTGCCTCTGAGGGTTAACTTTAAAAGGGATTAGCTTAATCTTTGAAAGGGCCAAGATCTTCTGAAAAGTGCTGTGTTTGTGTGATTTGCCTTTGCTTGTCTCATAGTTAACAAGCGACAAATCGATATATTTATCCTTCCACATACTAGTTCCAAGATGATGTTTTGTTAAGGTTCATGTTAAGGTTAAGGACAACATTTAGTAAATTTTATTTTCCTGATATATTTTCTCAATTAAAGAATAAAATTTCTTTTCAGGATTGTTATACTAATAATTATGGGGGACATAAAACACATAAATATATTTGAGTTACTTTAAAGCATATGTCAAATAATTCGTTATCAAAGTTGATATACATTTAATAAATATTAATTGTAGTTGGCTCTGTTCAAATTAATTCTGCTTTATTGAAAAGTAAGTAAAATGTATATTTTTATGCCAATCTTGATAATAGAATTAGCACAAAGGATCACATATAGAGTGTAATAAACTTAAAATAAGACCCAAAACTCCAGCGCTTTCGAATAGTTGACTATTCTTCTTTGTTCTCCTGAAGAAGAATAGTCAATAGTTTTGAGTCTTATTTTATGTTTATTACACTTTATATGTGATACTTTGTGCTAACTCTTTTATCAAAATTGATATTCCACTCATGGACCACGGACCCGATTTTACCAATGGTAAGTTACCTGTTCTTTCACCTTGCATTGCCGTTTTTGGAGATTCTATTATTAAATACCTGTATCAACACCTTTCTTACGTTAAAGACCAACATGTTTTAATTAAATCCATTAGTGGAGCCACTTCACTTGACCTTTTAGATTCTATATCTTTACTGCCACAGACTGTAAAATACCTAATTCTTCATGTTGGAACTAACGACCTCAAACGGAACTCAACGACCGCTTATGACTGTTTTAATGACCTACAAACCATACTGTTACATAATTTGACTCTCCGTTCTGACCTTCGCGTATGTTTTTCTGCCATTTACATCTGCTTTCCTATATATATATATATGGCTTTAAATGGCTACCTATTCGCCTTATTCACAGTAAATGTTTTTTTTTGTTGTTGTTTCAAAAGTTTGCTAAGTATACGTAGGATTGTGGTATTGTTCTAATATCTCAGTTATGCAAGAAGTTATAATAACGGTGTTGGAATGTTTCTTCAACAGGCGATCAACTATGTCTAAAGTCATCAGTAAATTGTGAATCTTCAAAGAGAATTTATTAGCGTTAGTAGATGTTGCAAAGCAACGGCTAATAACTCGTTTTCACAATAGATCAAAAATATAGTTGTACTAATTGGATATGAAAGAGATATTGATGCGTGTCACGTGCTTCTGTTTCAAATATATGAAATTGAATTTCGCGCAAAGCTACACGAGGGCTATCTGCGCTAGCCGTCCCTAATTTAGCAGCTAGTCATCACCACCCACCGCCAACTCTTGGGCTACTCTTTTACCAACGAATAGTGGGATTGACCGTCAAATTATAACGCCCCCACGGCTGAAAGGGCGAGCACGTTTGGTGGGACGGGGATGCGAACCCGCGACCCGCAGATTGCAAGTCGAGTGTTCTAACCACCTGGCCATGCCGGGCCTCAAATATATGATGTTCTCATATTCTTAAATTTAGCTCAATTTGTATAAGAAACTAGAATGCATACTGTAAAATTTTTGCATCACTAGAATCTACATTTCATTGTTTCACGGTCATTTGAACCAATTTTATTATAGAAGTTCATGGCATGACAACCTAGAGAAAGAAATCGCATTGCCATTTTATCAACGTGCATAGATTGTTGGGAAGAGTTATTTATCTATATTTTGCATTTCAATAACAAAAACGCAAAATTATTAAAACAATCTCTTTTACAAAAGGTTTTATAATAAAAAAGTGTAATTATTTGTCTTTAACCAGAGCATCATTAAACTTATTAAGAAAAATGAGCAACTTAAGAATACGATTCCAGAAAAGGTCGTAACATCAGTAACACAAAACATACCAATAGCTGATTCCGTGTTGTTGTTTTATATATATATATATATAAACATAAATGTATAGGCGTACACATATATATATATGTGATAGATTTATTTTCTGTAACTTTATAAGGTTGGAAAATTAACAATGTGTGACGACGACCTTTCTGCACTTGTGATTGACATTGGTTCTGGAACATGCAAGGCCGGTTTCGCTGGAGATGATGCTCCTCGTTCTGTGTTTCCTTCCATAGTCGGGCGACCTCGCTACTTGGTATGTTGTAAGTGTTTTGCAATATTTCCTCATTTGCACTGTTAAGTAAATGAGAATAAATAAATAAATAAAAAGATAACGCATAATGTTCACAGAGTTTCTCTTGTGCGAAATTACAGTTTCGGTAGCAACTTCTGAACTTGTGGTATGACTTTTGTAATATAAATTGAAAAAATATACTTTATTTTTATTAATTATTTACGTCATTTGTTGTTTTTAGTGCAAAGCTACACGAGGAACGATCCACTTTGTTCGCCACGGTGATTGAATCCCCGAGTTTTAATGTTATAAGCCCTTGAACTTACCGCGGAGCAATCATGGGACTTATTTACATTAATACACGTTAACAATAAAAAAATACTAACAGCTTTTCGATTGTTAGAATTATATATCTCAATTTTATTTTCCACTGTGGTATATAAAAACACCATTCATTTTTACCTTATCATTTTCAAACAGTATTTTTTCGAAATTAGTTATTCTAGAATAACAAAGGAACAAAGACAGCTAGAACAAAAGTAATTTGACATATTTTTTGACCACGTATTATGTGATAACTGCACATACACCTTAAGGTAACATCTGTTCTGCTCATTGTAGGTATGGCTGTAATACTGCACATTGTGCAAGGATGTCGACAACGATGTCCTTCAATGGTAGGTCACGTGATACCTGAAGGTTACAACATCTCTCAAGTTTGAGTGAGAATTACTAGCACCCGGGTAAAGCTAGTTGCCATGGGTAACGAACGTTAGATTTAAACAGTCTGTTAGATGATCTCTGCTTAGTTAGATGGAAGGAAGTCCAATACAAGATACAATGAAAGCGATGGAGTAGCATTTAAGCAAGAACACACACTGTGTTTGTGTTATTATAGTGTGTTTATTGTATCTTTAGTTTGTTCTCAATAATTCAGTTATTCACAAAAATCTCTAGTGCTCTGAAATAGATATCTTATTGGATCTTCTGTTGTTCAGGATAATCAACTTGATCTGAATATACAAAATGCTGAAACTCACAGTCTGCTGTAAATTTCACCTTTAATACCAGTGATGACATAAACGCAAATTTGAATTTAGAGTCACTGCTATATATTTGAAATTATTGAGGGTAGAAGACAAAGAATTGTTATAAATTCAATTCTTTGAAGAAACAACCATTTTAGACCCCCTCGTTGCCCCCGACTGAGATATGGGATTTTAAGATTTTTAAATTTTTTACGTGAACTACTGATATGAAAGTGTTAATTGTTTCTGCCTTTCAAACTAACTCTTTGTTCCGTTATACCTCCCCACCCAAGTAAAATATCCTAGAAATGTCACTGAAATCATGAATATATACTTCAGGCAAGTACTCTACCAATTTAGTAAAGCAGTGTTTATTTTTAACAACTCGAACATCAACAATCAACACCATTATGTAAAAATACAAACACACAGTGACTGCTACATGTTTAAATAGCTTTAAAGCTTTGAAAACCGTTGCATACATGTGCATCCATGCAAATTCAGGAAGCTTAGTGTGCATATACTCGACATCTTAAGCAAGATATGATAAATATCCTAAAAATTGTTACAAATTACTATTTGCAATGTATGTCTTTAGCAAATTTGTTGATTTGTTTTTGGTATTTGTGCAAAGCTACAGAAGGACTATCTGCACATTTCACATAGCGTCCTTGATTTTGAACTGACAGACTGGAGTGAAGGCAACTATTCAACATCACCCTTCGTCAACTCTAATCGAATAGTGTTATGGACCCCTGGATTTTAGTTAGGCACGCTAATTAGTACGCTTGCTCAAATACGTGCTGTTTGTACGCAGCTTTGATGGACTAATTACGATATTATGTCGGGGTTGATTTTTATTGTGAAATTAAGCACTATGTTCTGATTTAATATTATAATCAATTAGTAAGTGGTATTACATGATGACGGTACTTTCTTTTTTGTGTGTGAACATTTTTCTAATTCTAGCTCAATATATATTAATCTATTTTAAAATAATTTTCTTGATCGTTTACCAAAGGAAATTAAACTCTAAGAGATGCTGCAAATAAAAGATTAATACTACAGTTTTGCTAAAAAGTAACTCGGCAACTTGGTAAAACAAAAACTAGAATGTAAAATGTTTAATATATGCATATTCATTATTCAAATTTGTTTATTGATTACTGTTATTTCGTATTTTGCTTTTCAGCCTGTAATGGTAGGAATGGGCCATAAAGACAGTTACGTTGGAGATGAAGCTCAACATAAGCGTGGCGTCTTGACTTTAAAGTATCCCGTTGAACATGGAATTGTAACTAATTGGGATGATATGGAAAAAGTATGGCACCAGACCTTCTTTAATGAACTTCGAGTTTCGCCGGAAGACCATCCTGTGCTTCTGACTGAAGCTCCTTTAAATCCGAGGTATAACAGAGAAAAAATGACACAGGTGTGTTACCTTTCATTTTCAAAGTTGCCCTGTAAACTAAACTTGCTTAACTATTTGGTTTATATATATTGCAACTAAAAGCGTAGAAATTAAACTATCGTCAATCACAAATCTAGATATTGAAGGAAAAAGAACCAGAAGAAGAAAAAAATCTAATTCCAAAAAAAACAAAAAAACACTACAATATCTCAAAATCACTTTTCTATGTTAATAACAATATCGAGTGGCAAACAGCAATAATTCACCAACCATCTCGTGGATATTTATTCACTCGTTAGTTCACGAGAGTACATCTCATGTAATAATAAATTTACCTAATCCTTTGTTATATTAATCATATCTGTACGTTATCGTTAGGGAAGCTGGTGTCAGTTTCATAATACATATTTACTCAAAATAAACGTGATCAGCTAGAAGATGAGTTAGCGTTTTAATATAACTAAAAATTCATAGCTCAACTAAACGATAGAAGGAATAATAAATGAACGATAAAAAAAAACCAAAACATAAAATAAAATTCGCTACCTCACAACGTGCGCATGCCATGAATCGCGAGAAGAATTATACACTCTGTAGGCTGCAACACAACATATGAACTTCAAAGGTAAGAAACAAAAATATTTGTTACTTTGAAGTTCATATGTTTTATTTACTCTTCAAAGACAACACTTTCGGGGATCCTGAGCAAGTACGTCTAGTTAAGTATATTTATTAAGTATATACTGTAGATTTTATTATGTGATCGTTCTCTGGTTCTTTCAGATGATGTTTGAAAATTTTAACACTCCAGCTATGTATATTGCAATTCAAGCTGTGCTATCCCTCTATTCATCTGGCCGCACTACTGGTAACGTTTTCGACTGTGGGGACGGCGTATCGCATACAGTTCCTGTTTACGAAGGTTACGCTGTGACACATGCCGTAATTCGTTTGGATTTAGGAGGACGGGATCTCACAGATTACTTAGTAAGGATCTTGACAGAACGAGGTTATGATTTTGCATCCACTGGTAGGATTGTTTAGTAATAACTTTTTAAAAATTAAGAAAACAATTTAATCCATCACTTACTCAGTTTGTAGTAATTTTTTTTTTAAATGTTATTAATTAGAACATTTAACTTTTTATTTTGCAAGTTAATTTTTATATTCAATAAGTTTCTGTCTCTATTATATATATATATATATTATATAAAAAAGAAAAGAATATTTTTTGAGAAACTAATGTGAGGAAACATTTTGTTTTTGTTTGTAGTTAATCACAAAGCTATACAATGGGCTATCTGTGCTCTGTCCACCACCGATATCGAAACCCGGTTTGTAGCGATATAAGTCCGCAGACATACCGCTATGCCACACCTGTGAGGGGGGGGGGTATTTTTTGCTTGTTTTAGGGTAAAGCCACTTACCTGCTGGTCCCACCGCGAGGAATCGAACCCGTATTTTAGCATTG